TGCAAAAAAAAAAAAAAAAAATAGGGCCCACACTTCACACCATATACAAAAATTCACTTATAAAGGAACAAAAATCTAGATATCAAAGCTAATCCTATAATAGTCTTAAAAGAAAAAAAAGGAGTAAAATCTGCATGACATTAGATTAAACAATGGTTCTTAAATATAACACTTAAAGCATAATAAGCAAAGGCTAAAATAGATAAATAGATAAAATAGACATCACCACCGTTAGAATATTTTGTGCTTTAAATAACATAATTAACAAAGTGAAAAGACGTCCCACAGAATTATAGGAAATATTCAGAATCATACATGTGATAAAGAACTTAGAATATATAAAGACCTTACAACAATTTGATAAATAAAAAATCAAACAAATCAATTAAAATGTACAAAATATACAAATAGAACCTTCTCCAAAGAAGACGTACACATGGCCACTCTTCACATGAAAAGATGTTGTACACTGTTTGTCATTAGAGAAAAGTAAATCAATACCCCAATGAGATACTCCTTAACAATCATAGGATGGCTCTAAACAGATAATAACAAGTTTAGTTGAGGATATGGAGAAATAGAAAATGATGCACCTGCTTTCCAAAACACTTTGGCACTCTCTCAAAGTTTCACATGGAGTTACCATTGGACCTAACGATTCCACTTTCAATATGTACTCTAGATATACAACCATACAAAAATTTGTACATAAACGTAAATAGCAGCAATGTTCATGAGAGTCAAAAGGTGGAAACAATCCAAATGTCCATAATTGATTAACGGATAAGTAAAATGTAGCATATCTGTACAATGGAATAATATTCAACAATAAAAAATAAAGAACAGATGACATAGTACAGGATGAATGAAGCTTGAAATCATACTACATGAAAGAAGCCAATCATAAAAGGCCATATATTATGTGATTGCATTTATATGTTATGATCACAATAGGCAAATCCATAGATTCAGAAAGTATATTAGTGTTTGTCCAGGGTTTGTAGGTAGATGCTTAGGAAGATAGAGGGCAATGGGCGTAAAGTTTCTTTTTGAGGTAATGAAAATGTCATCAATTTTATGCATACACTGATGGCTACACAAGTCTGTGAATATTGTACAACCAATGAAGTGTATGCTTTAAATATGTAAATTATATGTTATGTGAATTACATCTTAATAAACTCATTAATAAAGTCAAGGAAGACTTTGATGGGAAGTGGGACTGGAGTTGAAAATGGAAAATAGGATTTGGGTTGAAGATTTGGAAAGTAATTGCAAGATGTAGGGGCTAATTTCAGAGAAGTCTCTATACAAAGAGGAGTTTATGAAGGAAACAAACTTTTCAGCCTCATATGTATTGATCAGAGATGATAAAATTGCCTTTAGATTAATCTGCCTTTGTTGACTCAGAGTCATGGATATCAGTGGGCATAAGGAAAAGGAAATAGGCTTTTAAAATAATAGTGTGAAGACACTGAAAATAGAGTTAATATAAATATAGAAGAGACATTTGTGGAAGGAAGAATGGACAGTGTTAGGTGATTGATTAGGAAACAAGAAGTACCAAGCTATCTAACAATTAAATATCTGAGGTGAAAGATTTTGATTTGCCATATTATCTCTGGAGTAGGCTACATATCATTTACTTAATTGCTTAAATGCACATGTTACAAAACTATCTTGAACACAATGCACCCAAGCCCTCAAATGCAATGTATTGCATGAACAACATAACAGCACAAAACGAAAATGAACACACTTAATCTTACAGTGTCAATTCAGACAATTTATACTGAGGCACCAGGGAAATACCTGGAGTTAGACCACGCAGGATAGTTATCTGGCTCAGCCATTAATATGTTCATCTCAAAGAAATTATTTGCCTGTGTGTTTATCCCTCTGAAAAAAAGAGAAAATCTCATCATCTGAAAACAAGAATTTATTCTTGTTATGTTGGGCTTAATATTAAAAAAAAATCCAAAACATAAAGAGGCTAATGGTTGCGAAAGAACCTCCTGCACGATGAAAAAAACAAGTCTACATGTATCAACACTTTCACATTATATATATATATATATATATATATTTTTTTTTTTTTTTTTTTTCTTATCACAGCACTAGCTGGATTTTTCTTTAGATCTCACTAGGCATGAGATTAGGCGCCAGGAGTGTTCTGGGCAACCAAAAAAAAAAAAAAAAAAAAAAAAAAAACCTTTACATTGCTCTTTTGGTGGGCAGGGGTCATGCCTCAGAGAGTAAGTGGCGGAGGGGGAGGAGAGGAACGCAACAACTGATTTGAACCTGAATTTGGGGAGACAGTGATTGCAAACTGAGTGCCATCTTGAAGCTTTCCCCACTGCGTGAGAAGCGAAGGTGGGGGAGGTGATACTGAGCCCTCAGCCCTGAACAGTCCTCCCCCGCTATCCCCTCCTCCCCAACCCCCGCTGCACTCTGAACCAATCGGCTTGAGCGCCGCCCTCTTCCTCCCTCTATGTGGAATCCTATAAATTGGTTATCTGGGGGCTTTGGAACCGTCTACCAGTGTCTGGCTGCTGGTGAGCTGGTGCTGTCTCGCCTGGGCCCTTGATTGGCTAGCTTTTGCTAACTCTCCGGGAATCCCACGTGCAGACGCTGCAGTTCTTAAGAGGAAGGCGACTTCGAAAGAATACCAAGCAGTGCAGAAAAGCTTGGTTCCAGAAACAATCGGAGGATCGGGAGCGGAATCGCGGACCCATAAAGAGGTAGGGCGCTCTGCACTTGCGGTGCTGAAGCCTGGCGGGCTAGAGACTGAGGGTTGTGCCAGGTTGGTAGTGGGGCTGCAAGCCTTGGTGTAGATGGGGGGAAGGAATGGATCTTGTTGGTAGGAATGTGGGTAGATTGAGCCCTGTAGCCTCCTGGCGCGCTGGGAGGGCTGAGTGAAGGCTCTGGCTTCTAGACTATTGAAAGGTGTAGAGCTAGTTTTTCTTATACAAATGTCTGCATTCTGGCTCTGGAATTCAGAGTCTTTGCCCTCAGACACTACAAATAACTGATTGCAGTTTGCAAATGTAAGCAGCTCTGACTCCAGCTACTGGTTTTTGGTGGCAGAATGAAGGTCCTACATTGTCTGTTGGGGACAGAGGGCTTGGAGTTTTCGGAAGAGTCCTGGGCCTGTAGGGGTTTCTTTCTGCCTGTCAGGGCTAGGCGAATGACTCAAGATGTTAAGATGTAGCAAAATGGAAAGGTGGTTGGTAATTTCTCCAGGGCTCTTGGCCTCTTATCGGGTCTGGAGAAGACCGTCTAGGTTCTTTCAAAGAGGAAATGTAGAACCAAGGGAAGATGCTGGTTGTTTTATGATTTCGGAACAATTTGAGGAACGTGGGTGAAAGTACAGATCCAGAATTACCTGGGGGTAAATTTTGGCTGTAGGAGAAATGCAGGACGCCCTTTGGTTGTCTAGGGAAAATAGCCTCTCTTGGCCCTGTTTGTGGTAAATTTAATGTGCGTGGCAGACAGCGCAACATTGCCGCATTGAACACCAGGGGGGAACCTGGGTGCTGGAAAGATGTGTGTGCTCCCTCCCTGACTTGGGTAAATACTAGGTGAGGCTGCAAAATTTTCTGTTCAACGGAGATTTTAAGATATTTCCAAAACTCCTAGGCAGAAGTTGGGGTGAAGCAAAATTATGAGGTGTTTCCACCCCAAATTTAGTTAATTTTAAGTTATGCAGAGATAACTGAGGGGGGAGGGACTGCCACACAAACGTATAGAAAGCTGAGGCTTATGGTTCTCCTGCACTCTCCAGAGGAAATCCAGAACATATGGGGGGAAATAATTGGTGATTTTCATCTTTCTGGGGGAAATCTGGTGAATGTGGAAGATGCATGGTGTTTCCATACTTTCTAGCAGGAATATAAGTTGCAAGGGGAAAATGGAATTCTTGCACTGTTGGGAGGAAAAAAAATGGGTTTTAAAGAAGAAATCCGCAGTGCTTGTGTACTAATAAGGGAAAATTAAATGTGCAAACAAAGATTAACTATGCCCCTGTGCTACCTAGGGAGAACTCAAGTGCGTCAGTGCTTCTGCGCATAGGAGTTTTGGAGTGTTTATTCATTCCTTCTAGAAGATTCGGGGTGCTGGGGAAATGAGGAATCCATTCAGGAAGCTCAAAGGCTCACTTGGAGACTATTTTCTACCTATGGACAGTCAAACACACACACACACACACACACACACACACACACACACACACAGGAAATTTCTAGAAATTTAACCAAACCCCACGTCTCAAAGTTTTCAAGAAATAAGATTGTTTTCCCCTCTTTCCCTTCTTCCTCATGTTTTGCCACCTCTATTTTCCTGTGTTGTTTCTTTTTTTAAGGAGAAAATGTGAACCATGGAAAATATTGATCACATCATTTAAACAAAAGTTGTTTTGTGCTTCTGACTTAAAAACATGTTGTTTTACACGACTGATAGCACAGTCATAGATAGATTTCAAAAGACCCCCTTTTCCTAAACTGTTTCTTTTCCCCATTCCACCTATCACTTCTCATTTCTGGATTCTATGCTCCCACTGACTTGAGGGCTCCACCACTGCTTGAGTGTCCCCACCGGCAGCAGGTCAGGGGGAAAAAAATCCCGAATGTCAATATGAGTTGGGGAGGAGGGTGCATGAAGTAAGGAATGAAAGAATGTAAATAGGGGATATATGTTAACTACCTGTTTGGTTGTATTGGGCACACTCATTTCTGTGGGGTTAATATTTGATAAATGTGCCCACCAGTCCCCAAATTCTAATGCTCCATCTGGTCCAGCCCCCAAACTGCCTGTGCCTTGATGGGAAAGACCAGAGCCCCAGTTACACAGTTGGCATCTGGAAAATTCACTCGCCCTCATTTCTGCGAGAGCCACCCATGCCCCCCTCTGCGTTGCGGACCCAGACAGCATCTCGTGGTAGAGGCAAAGTCTCGCGCAAAGCTCTGCCTGCCCGCTCGGGGCCCCGCCCCTCTCTGGCGAGGGTCATTGCCCAGTCCCTCTGGCGCCCGGGAGTGCGCACGCCACCTTAGCTGCAGCAGTCCACTGTGGTGCGCAGAGCCCCAGAGACACACTCCTCTGGCTGTGAAGCACTCCAGGTTCGAAGAAGGGGGCAGCAGCGAGCCATCGCCTCCCCTTTCTCCCTGACCGGCAAACTGAGGCTGGAAGGTTCCTGGCTTTTTTAGTCATTTGGCTAAAGCTCTCTAAGGTAAGTCTTCACGTTTGCAGGAAAGGCGGGAGAAATCTGCGAGGGAGCCGCCGCCGCTGCGACTGGCACCAGGTAAACAGACTGGTAGGCAGACTAAGAACCCTCCACCTTTACATTTACCTTTGGGTAAGACTGCCCACCCAGTGGAAGGGGCTCAGGTCAAAGGCAGCTCCAGGTCCACCTGGCGCTCGCAATTCCAGAGGCTTCATTTCTTCCAAAGGTTAACTGGGTGTGCTAAATCACGAATCTCTAGAAATTCTCTCCTATTTTTGTCTGTCATGGTCAGCAGGGATCTGGCATTCCTGAAAAGTCGGGATGTATGCCTATGCCCCCAAGCCGGCTTGACAGCCCATTCTCCCATTCCCTACACCCTATTAGTGTCCTCGTAGAGTCTAGAGGCGGCTTCTGGCTGCTTCTCCAGCCCTTGAGCTTTCACAATTAAAACAAAAATTTTTCCCACCGAAGTACATACAAACTGTTAGCTTGCACCAGCTACCGAGGTCTCCAAAAGCCAGTGGTCAGCCCTGGAGCTGGAGCCTTTACGTCTTCTCCTCATCCCCTCCCACACCCGGGTCTCCTCAGCCCCCTCCCCACTTCGCTCGCTAGTGCCGCGGTGGGCTGGAAAGGACTTGCGTCTGAGCTAAGGCTCTTGGCATCGAAGCCGCTTCCTCACTAGAATCACTTGCTCGGTAACTGGGGAGAGGGCTCTAGCCTGAGATGGGGATTAATCCGTCTTCAGTATTCCTCCTGCCCACGAGACATAAAAGAACAAATCTCTGTAATTAGAACTCCCTCCCACCTCGCTCATAGCCTGGCTTTGCGGGAGGTGGGTGGGTGGGTACAAGCCGGTGGATCCCTGCAAACGCAGCGTTAGGAGGTCTTTTGGTGACGTGGTTTCTTTAAAGTCCCGCCCTCCTGAAATTTGGGGAAGGGGCTGCGAGTGAGCACTCTCCACTGCCCTCTTCTGCGTATTTGGCTAAAGAGAAGCCCTAATGCAGAGAAGCGAATCCTCACCAACTAGGTGAACTGAAGTTCAGGAGCCTTGTCTCCACCTGGGGATCTGGAAAAACGCCAGAAAATGTGCGGCGCTCCCTTTCCCAGCCCAGATTCCAAAGGAACACTGGAAAAGGCTGAGGCTCAAACCTTTATGGACCTTGGTTACCTTTGATGCAGCGCTGGGGCTGCTGTCGCTCAGAGATGCGACACAACCGCAGCCCCTGGCATGGGGGTAATTCAGGTGGTAAGGGGAAGGGTCCACAGAAGAGGATGCACCCCTCCTTGCTGTCTATTATTGTTCTTCCCTAGTGTACAGCGAAAATACCAAACCACAACTTCATCCTCAGACCTTCCAAGACTTGGACATTTGGAAGAGTGTCTTAGCTTTGAATTTGAGTTGTTATCTTTTATCTTCACCTTGGGTATTAAAGGGTCTTTTTGGTGAGGTGGGGGGATGGGCAGAGCTTTAATTGGAACACTTGTGTGATTGTGATCCTTTCTCCCCCCTCCCCCCCGCAAAAAAAAAAAATAGATGAAACAGTCTTCACCAGAGAATCTAGCACAATTTCTGGCACTACACAGCAAGCAATAATTCCTCCCCCCCAGCCCCCTCCCACTACACACAGACTTAGTGACACCTGCTGTGAGATGTTTCAATCAGAAATGGTGGCATTTTGCAACATAAAGGAGGACTAAGCCTGGTGTGATTTAATTTGGCCCTGAGGGACCACAGATCCCAGCCCTAGGAGCTGACTAATCCAGTTGTCCTCATCACATTTATTTTTGGGGAGGGAGCAGGTAGAGGTGGAAAATCTTTAACTCCTTTTCCTGTAGTGTAGAATGTAAAACATCACCACACTAATGTACACCACACAAACTAACCAGATAGAAACATGCAACCCACACACTACAATAGCATGTATGTCAGAGAAACCACATAATTACAGCACGCAAGCATAGCACACAAAGCATACACTATATTAGATAAATATACAACATACAAATCTACATTGTGCAAAACACAACAAATTTTGTGCTCCACACAAGTCCACACAGCAAATATAGCACAACTTCCAAACACAAATCACTCAAAACACATGTATCACAAATATACACACACAAACCCCATGAACAGACTCTACCACACAGACACTCCACATATACTCACACAAAAAATATTCCCTTTGCTTCCTTTCAAAATGAGCTTATAGGTTTAAAAACAACAAAAAGGATAGTCAAAGTGGCTCATGCCTACAATTCCAGCAGCTTGGGAGGCTGAGGCAGGAGGATCACAAGTTCAAAGGCAACCTCAGCAATTTAGTGAGACCCTAAGCAACTCTGAGACCCTCTCTCAAAATAAAATAAAATAAAATGAATAAATGGGCTGGGGATGTGGTTCAGTGGTAAAGTTCCTCTGGGTTCAATCCCTGGGGGGGAAAATGTAGGTAGCCATAGAGAGAAAATGATAGACTGAGTGATTTTCCACAGTTTAGGAGATGATCACAGTGAATGGGGGGATGTCAAGAAAAGAAACCAATAGGATTATGATGAAACTTTTACATCAGTAGTATATATTTTTCTGCATATTCCCAAAATGTTAGTTTGATCTTCACCACCAGATTATGAGGTAAATAACATTTCAAGTCCAATTAGGGAAGTTAAGGCACAGAAGTTGACACACAGTGATTGCACATATCTATGGAGTACAGTATACCACTTCAGTACATGTATATGATGGGTCATTATCAGGGCAAGGTAATTTGCATATACATAACCTCAGACATTTATAAGTTTTCTTGTTTTGGGAACATTCAAGATTCTTTGTATTGACTTTTTTGAAATATGCAATTAGTTGTTGTGAATCATAGTTATCCTACTGAGAGTACAGAAAATTTATTTGCCAACAGGTATGCTGCAGGTTAGTGACAGCAGGGAGGTGGGGTGGAAGTTAAAAACAAAGGTTTTTAAAATTCTGTAATACTCTGAAAACAGCTCTCCCACACACATACAAACATACATATTACTTACCACATTCTTTATTAACTAGCTACCACCTCCTGGAGTTAAAGATTGGTCATCTATTTAAAAACCCATTTCTTCTGGCTTGATTTTTTATTTATGTCCCCTAGCACAAGAAAGAGCATCTTAGAACTGACCTTTCTTTTCATAACACAAGGTAGAAAGGTCCTGTGCCCTACTCCAGGATGCCTGTAGGGCCAGAAACCAGAGTTATCTAGCCTACTAGGCCCTGATACCCCAACTCTCATAAGGAATTCAGTTAGTAACTAATTAATTAATTAATGTAATATACATTAGATGCAGTAACCTTTCTAGGGTAGACTAGGGCATGCTTGGTGAACTGCATGGTGATGAGAATCTCTTTTTTTTTGTGTGTGTGTGGGGGGGGTCAGGTAATCAAACCCAGGGTATAGGGAGCTCTTACACTAAGCTATACTTCCAAGAATATAGAATTGTGTGTCTTCCAGCATTACAACAAAATATAGATCTGATTCTACTCTCTTTCAAACTTCTCTAATTCAGTTTTTATGGATAGCTTTCTTTTCTCAACACCTAAAGCACTTAAATAATCTGCATTTCACTCTTAATATAGTGTATATTTTTTCCAGCTTGGATCATTATTTAATTATTTGGTTTCAGATTTGTCTCTATGACTTGGCTGTAAGCAACTTCTTTTTTCATCAGATAGCTGGCCTAGACAAATATCAGGGATTTCTGGACAAGCTTGCTGATGGATTGATTGATTGTGAACTTATATAGGTAGATTTTGATGTAATGAAATGAGTCATGTCTCCAAAGAATTAAATTAGAAAAGAGACAGTGTGTAGGAATTAACTGGATGCATTTGCTCAGTATTGCCTGGCCAGGGAGTAACACATAGTAGATCCTATATATGCTGCCTAATGCACAGTTGAGTATTTTAAAAATCACAACCTGCTGTTTGGGGCTAAGTTTATAATGGAAGAGAGTGGAGATTAAGATGGCTTTAACCCAAAAGCACTAGAAATGAATTAATGCATACTATTTCCAACTTAAATGATTTAAATTAGTGATGGCAGTATTCATTGGGATGGTGTATGCAAATTGGTTGTTACCTTGTTACAGTGGTGTTTTTCTGAGTGTCATTCTCATTGACTGATGAAATATTGTCTCTGGCTCTACCTGGAGCAGGAAAGAAATCACTTTAATTTTTCATATAGGTGTACCTTTCTGGAAATCCATTTTTAAAAATATAGAGCTAAGAAAAACTGGATCAAATTAAATTAGAATGATGATTATTTGCTTTTAAAAATGATTTGCTACAAGGTTCCTTTGGCAATTTCCACTGCTATTTGAAGATTACTTAGAAATTAAGATAAATACTTCAGAGATGAAATTATAGGTAAAGAATGTTTGAAATTCTTAAATATTCAGTACACACAGAATCTGAATGCACTTCACTGTATTTCTTGAATTCAACACTTTTCTCCACTCTTCTGCTACCCTACAACCTGATCTGGAGACTGAAAACAGGCACCTAAGGACAGCATAGGGTCCTGAGCCTGCTTATAGATAGCTGATCTTTTCTCACAATAACAGATAAACTTCACTCTCAGTCAGATTTGAGCCTATAAAGACAGTATAAAATATGTATTATTTTATACTGTCTTTATCCTTTATTTTCTCTAAACTTATTTGAGAGAGAAACCTTGGTTATCATTTGCCCCATTACACAATAATAATTGAAAATAAATCAAATATGCTTTTAATATACTTGATTGATATTGCCCACAAATGACCAGAAATTTCATACTTACTGAAGGAAATGAGGATGGGGAGTAATAACTGAGCCCTATGGGTAAATAATTGCTCTCATTGGCTCCATAGGACTCTTTCATCCTAGTGAAGTGAATTGATCAGCAGGACTCCTGGCTTCCCTCCTCCTATAGGAGAAGTGAAGACCTGGTTCCTGAGGATCCCACTTTTTATAACAAATTTTGAAAAGCTAACCCATTCTTCTGTGAAACAGTGATGTCTGTGATTCTTCAAATCTAAGGTGGAGCCAGGCACATTGGTGCACACCTGTAATCCCAGAGGCTCAGGAGGCTAAGGCAGGAGGATTGCGAGTTCAGAGCCAGCCTCAGCAATTTAGGGAGGTCCTATGTAACTCAGCAAGACCCTGTCTCCAAATAAAATATATAAAAGGCTGGACAAACCCCCCAAAAAACAAAGTCCGACTCATTTCTTTGATGTGTGGATGCTAACTCAAAATAAGGGGGCGAGTACATAAGAATAGAAGTACTTTGGATTAGACAAAGGTGAATGAAGGTAAGGAAGGGGGAATGGGAATAGGAAAGATAGTAGAATGCATCAGACATTACTATCCAATGTGCATATATGATTACACAACCAATGTAATTCTACATCATGTACAACCAGAAAAATGAGAAGTTATACTTCATATATGTGTAATATGTCAAAATACATTCTACTATAATGTATGACTAATCAGAAAAAAATAAAAAAAAATTTAAAAAGATGACATTCATAGTTGGTTCTGGTAAAATTAGTTTCCATGCATAGTTTTTAAGAGTGGTTTAGTTTATCAAATTTTGTTAGTCTTTCAAAAGTAACAGTAATAAAATGCAATTAGTTTTCTATTTAAAAAATTAAAAAAAAATTAAAAACAGACTGGGGATGTGGCTTAGTGGTTGAGCAACCCTGGGTTCAATTCCCAGTATATATAATATATAGTGGATTTGGGAGTTTTCAGCCTTTGGAGAAGGTTCCTCATCTATCTCCTTTTTTATTCTCTAGGGGCCTGCTTAAATTGTCACCCCAAACAAAAATGAACTATTCATTTAATGGAAATGGGACATCCCCTTTTCAATTACAAATGGAACGTGCCATTGATTGGCTCCACCAAAATTTCACTGAGGTTCCACCAATCGAAGATCAAAGCTGTAATCATACAGATCTAAATGGATCCAGTGTCTCCAGCCCAGAATTGGAAGGGCCAACAGGAATGGGCTGGAAATGGCTGGGGGGCAAACCCCACATTGCAGCGAAGATAATTCTGTCTGTGGCATATGCAGTCATCATAATGGTATCCCTCTTTGGCAACTCACTGGTGTGCCAAGTTTTCATCAAGCACAAGGAAATCAACAAATCAACAGGCCTTCTCATCTTCAATCTGGCGATATCTGACATTTTGATAATTCTGCTCAACAGTCCATTTGCTCTGGTGAGTGAGTATATAGGGTTGGTTTGGAGTGGAGATGTTGCTCCAATCCAGGGATGGATGATAGGACTAAGACGAAGAAGGGACATAAGCCTGCCTTAAGCCCCCATTCTAGAACCTACCTTCTCTGTAAGTCCTGAGGGGATTATCTGAGTGTATAACCAATCTCTATTTTGCTTCCCTCCTTCAGGCCCGATTCCTGAGTGGACAGTGGGTATTTGGCAGGATCATGTGCCATGTCAGTCGCTTTGCTCAGTACTGCTCCCTTCATGTTTCAACTTTAACACTGATGGCAGTTGCCATGGACCGACATCGGGTAAGACCTCTGGAGGGTCCTTGTTAATAAAAGGGAAGAAAATTGGCAGTGCCCACAGATTAGACACCTCTCAAAACTCCTCAGGATGGGGCCACTTTCACACTTCCTCCTCCTTCAATTGGATACCAATCAGAGTTCCAGTATTTTCAGAACCATAATATATTTTAATCTATTTTCCTTCTAAACTATTTTCAATCCAATCATGTTTTTACTGGAATAAGGTAAATAGTATTAATAGGAAAATTATGTATGTAGAGACTCTTCAGCATTTGCCCACACAAATGACATAGATCTTTTTGTTTCAGGTAATTCTGCATCCAACGAAACCAAGGCTAACACACTCCCAAAGCATACTGACTGTTGTTCTGATCTGGAGTCTTGCAGTGTTCCTTGCTCTTCCTCATGCAATCTATCAAAATCTGTTCTATGTCATCAGCAAGTAAGTCAGACTAGTTACTTAATGGTAATTTTGTCTTCCTCTTTCCAGACACAATGAGGAAATTGACTTTTGAAAAGTTTTTAACTGCATGTTTGTCCTCCTCCAATTTTCCTCAATAGTGGAAATGAAGCCTCAATATATCTCTAACTTTTATTAATTAAACCAATATGATGGGCCTCCAGGTTAGGGACATTGGTGGTTAGGAATCAGGTAAGTCTCAATTTGTTCTCTGTCTGGATCAAGACCTATAAGAGAGGATATTATAGCTCCATACCTTAATTTTTAAATTGAAGAAACTAAGAGCTATAAATAGGGAGCTGGGTGGGTTTACTTAAGGACATACTGTGGCAAAGCTGGGACTAGAACCTTAGCTTCCTGAGATCCATTTCACTGGTCTTGTTATCATAACCTCCATTATCTTCTGCTCCAGGGATGGAGTTGTCAGGAGCCACTGCCTTCCTGCATTTCCAGGACCCAGCAAGCTAGTTGGAAAGTATGTGGATCTTGGGACATTTGGCTTGCTGTACATCCTGCCACTGCTGGTGATTGTTATAACATACTCTCACCTGGGGAAGAGGCTGTGGATCCAAAATTCTGTTGGTGATGCATCTGCTCGTCAACTTATGGCACACTACCAGAAGCGGAAGAAGAGCATCCGAATGCTGATTCTTATTGTAATGGTCTTTGCGATATGTTGGTTTCCTCTCAATTGCTACGTGGTTCTTATTTCCAGTGCAGACGTAGAAACTGAGAGTGTGCTTTTCTATGCCTTCCACTGGTTTGCCATGAGTAGTACGTGCTACAACCCTTTTATCTACTGCTGGCTCAACAGGAGCTTCCGTGCCAAACTTAGATCTATAGCATCTTGGTGCACAAAATATCTGTTGTGCAAGAGCTCCCAGGTTCAGCAGCAAGCACAAGTGCAGGAGAGTCATGAGCTCCAGGAACTCCAGGCATCTGCGCTGCCACAGGTGCCTGTGGCCATTCCAGAGCCTCAGGTATTAGAGGATCCCTGTGTGGCTACAGGGGAGGGGGATGCCCAAATTTCTGCCCAGATGGAAAAGGAAAATCCAAATGCCTCTGTGAGTCGAAGGCAGCGTTTTTCAATCCTGCGTCCTTTTTTCTGTATCCGTGTTCATTCAGTTAAAATCTAGATGGGTACCCATATACAAAGACCTCCTGATCCCTTGGAATTTTGTTCAAAATAGTACCTGGGCACATGTTTCTGATGCACCAGCTGAAAGCATCACTGAGGCCCTGGTCATGACCATTCCATGCTCCTCCAAGGGAAATTTGGCCCACCCATTTAGCCCAGGTCAGATGTTCATGTTCAATATTGTAACAACAAATCAGCTAGAGATGGAATAACCCTTAAGCCAGATGCAGAGACCTAGTGATTTAATATCATGGACTTTCCTACAGGTCCATCACCATTTCCCTTTTGTGGTTGATGATTCTGAGTCCTGGAATCAAAAGGGTATTCACACTATATCTGATGGGGTCTCTGCCACTATAGGGACAACTGCTATCACCACACATCCTATAGGAGTCTATTGACTCACCCAACTTACTTTGGAGATGGGAAGGGAAAGAGCTAGATTCTCTAATAATCATTTTGACTCTACTTTGATCAGTGATTACCATTAGTGGGTGGTGATAGAAAGATGGAGGAATTGAGAGTGAAAGAGGGAGTAAGTAAAGCATCACAGGAAAGACTAATAACCGGTTCTCAACAGTAGGAATGCCTTCTTTTTCTTCAGTGTACCCCTGAGCACCGGCTTAATATTCTCATACTTTTGCCTTCTAGCTCAACTTAACCTGAAGCAAAAGATCATTTTAAGGGAAAAGAAATACTGGCAAATGACTCCAGACATTTGTTTTCCTCATATTCTCAAATGCAACTCCCTAAACTCAGTCATTGCAGTTCTGGTTGTAGACTGCTTTCCTGGGTTTTAGATACCCCATCTTGTAATCCAGAATTGGGCTTTATCATCTGGAGGAACTCATTGGTATTTGTGTTTAATTAGTGCATACCTGCATATCTGGTTTCTTGTGAATTTTCCCATGCAAAGCCCCTATCCTAGTTGGCTATTATTAAGCTTATTCACAGCCATGCTCTTCTCCCAATATTTGCATGACAATTAAGTCAACTTTTCCAAATCCATTTACTCCCCACCAACTATAATCTGTTGCATCCTAAATTGGAATCAATACACAAACAGATGCGTGCGTGCACACACACTCACACATTTTTATATTCACACAAGTACCAGCTGTATATACTGCCTCTTGTGACCTCTCATGCTATCTTCTTGCCTGGTGCTCTCACTTTTTTCTACTTGTAATTTTCATGCTAACTGAGCCTGGATGTGATTTCATGCCTTAAAATGAAGTCTTGGAGGTTCTCAGATTGTGGCAATTTTTTGCCCTAGGAATCAGGGTTTTTGTTTTGTTTTGTCTTTATTTTTTATTTTTAATTTTAATTTTTTTTTTTACTGCTGGTGCTTCACTCACCCTTCCCCTAACTTTATTTTATGTTGTGTACTTCCCTGTGACAATTCTATAGATCCCTATCCTAAGGTCTTCTGTTGCTCTGTGCTAATTCTCTTCCAGTGCTAATTCTATGCTTCCACCCCAACTATCTCAAGTTTAAAGGTTCTAATTTTTTACCTTTCTCTCACACCCCCTTCAAGTCAACCACTTTAATGCATACCTTATATGCCCTGTCACACATTTTGTGAACTTTAACAATCTCCTTTCCTCATTTTACATTTCTGCTATGACACCCCCAGGCATTGTCGTACACATACATTCATAAGCACCCTCATAAGGTACAAAACTGCTTCTCTCTCCTTCCAACATTTCACCCCGGTGCTCACTTTTCCATACCTGTTTGCTCTGGGTTGCTCACACCTAGGTTTTGGTTGCTGCCTTAACCAGAGGTTTACAACTCCTGGGCTGAGGCTCATCATCTCCTCAGTAAACAAGGTCTATATCCATTTCTGGTGCTTTGTTCCACTCTAGGTTCTAGTCCTTTCCTTATCTTTGAATACTTTCCTTCTTCCTGTCCCCTCTCTCTCTCTCTCTCTCTCTCTCTCTCTCTCTCTCTCTCACTTTTGTCTTTCTCACTGCTTTCTGCTTACCTCCTGAGTTGTTAACTTCCTCTGTAGTGTTTAGCTACATCTGATATTTCACTGTCCCTGTTCTATATTTTCCCTGTACAGACCTCCTTCTTTCAGCCACTGCCACCCACATGCACAAATTCACGTGCACGCATGCACCCAATCACATACCCGAACATTTATTTACTCTTTTTGCCACCAATTCTCGATATTTCTCTTGTCTTTGAAGCAGAATAAGGATGAGTAGCAAAACCAGGACACAGTGAGGAATCTTTGAAGAATGTGTGGCCTTTCATCAGCTGAGAAGTATCAGAAGTTCCATGAGAGGACACAACATTTGGACCTTTAAGGGAGCCTGTCTTTATGATGGCATTGATGACAAGGAACATGATCAATGTTTCTGTTTCATGCATCTTGTTTGTGACAGATCTTTCCTCCTTGCCCTTTAGAATACAAAATATCTCTGCCCTCCTAAATTATGTTGGCTTAGAACATCCATCAGAGGGCACCATGCACAAGGGTACTAAGAAGAGTGGCAGTTTCCTTGAGATCTCAGCATTCTTTAATGAGATTGTTCTTTCTAGCCAAACTGTTTGGTTCTATGTTCTTATAGATTAGTTACAGTTTAGTATCTGTTTATAAATGTAGGTAACAAACCATGGTCACAGTAAAGTCAAGCTATGAAGTGATTCCAATTTACTTGACACAGAGGACAGCTTTATTGAAGGCCACAAACTCTGCCCCAAATATGGGGCTTTTGCTGACCTAAAAGACTTAAACTGAGAGTGGATGGCCCAACACAACCTGTCCTTCCAACAGAAAGAAACCTGGTACATACTCAATTCCTATGATGGAAACAACATCTGTACAAGTAAAAGACTTGAGTTTTGATTTACATGTAGATGCAGGATAGTGTGAATAATGGAAAAATCCAGGAACTTAAGAATGATTAGAACAGGGTTTTTACTTGACTCAACCATTTGCATGATATTGGACAAGTCACTTGACCTTGATGTGACTCAGTTTCCTCATCTGTAAAATGAGGATAATAATACCTACCTACCTTACAGGGCTGTTGTGAGGGTTATCTGTGAAAACAGATGACACATTTGGAAGCGTTTTAACATCTTAACGCCTTCTCAAATGCAAGGTATTGTTATTATCATCACTGTTAATACTTTCACTTTCTTGTTATTACTATTGTACTCTTAATTATGAGTATGATTGTTGTTGTTAATACTAATGTAGTTATATTCCCCTCTACATGCTAAACTTTCTTTAGATCTTTTAGAGGGCAGTAGAGGTATTTAAGAACAGACTGCTTGAGATACCTCAATGGGGAAAAAAAAAGAAAAGCTTCCACTGCCTGCTTATATCATTGAAGGCAAAAACACTTGTAGACTTAGAAAGCCAGCTTGAGTAGGGAAACACTAGTTGAATGGTAGATTTCGAGACAATTGAATGAGAGAAGCACAGGCCAACTCATAGTCAAATGTATATTTTTGAGTTAACTCCTCTGGTGGGTTTTCCAGTATCTTAGCAGTGAAGACATCAGACAGGAAACAAACTTGAGATATATTAGGTGGTGACAATTAGAACATAAGTACAGAGATAGTACAAGAGCCCTATTCTGAATCCTCATTTCTTTTCTCAAAATCCCATTTACCTATGATTAAATTTAATTCTCTATAACTCTAGTGTATATTTATATTTATTGATGTTTTAGATGTAATAGTAAAATATCAGTTGTAACAGTGCTAAATTACGGTGCTCTTCTAAAGTGTGCTTCAAGCGTATTATGGTGTTAACATTTAACTATTTCTCTGTCAAAATAGCTCACAAAGAAACAAATAAAACAACAACAACAAACCCCAAACCTTCCATAATGCCCCCATAGTGTTATTTATGTATTCCTGCTTATGGGGAACACTGAGAAGCCCCAAAAGATTGAAATCTGATGGTGGACTTTTGGACAGTGTACTACCCTCAAATGCATATGAAGTAGGTTGTGCCTTCTGGAGAGCCTTTACCTGGACTTAAGAGACTGCTTCTGAAATCATATTCTACCTGACAACCAGCAAGTATGAAATGTGAAGTTCTAGTGCTCCAAGCCCAAACTCTCCCCAGTGATTCTCTTCAGAGGGGAGTAGATAGATGAAGGGACTGGAGTAGAATGACTGTGATTGTACTACGTCTGTTGCTTTTTGTACTTAAAGAGTATTTTGGCTAGGGTGACTTTTCAAGTGCTTCAAACTGTATCCCTTTGTGAATACTTTGTGACTGTGTATGTGTGCAATTAAAAATAAATAAAGTTTGCCTTTTAAGCTGAAGTGGATGGGAGTGATATATTTCATCAATGCAAACCTTCTCTGCTATTGCTAGCTACAAAAAGCAACTTGGTAGTTACTAACCTGACAAGAGATATACAGATTTTAGAAGAAATGGCCTGTGAATGACACTTGATTACCCTGAGCCTCTGATTGGAATTCTCAGATATTTGATGCTGAAAGAAACATGTGATGAATGAAAAGTGCTCTGGAGGCTGGGGGTTTCTCTTAAATGTCAAGCTCAGCAGAGGGTGACCTTCCAGGAGGTAGGAGCACTGAGTAGGGAATGCCCCAGGAAGGAAATGGGCAGGAGGATGTCTCAGAAGTTATAGTGTACTTATGAACCCTATTAATTATGACCATTTCTTGCCAGGGGACATGTGAAGAAAATTAATTTGTAAATGGATATAAAGAGACAGTGATCTGTAATCTAAGCAATTAAAGCTGTCAAACTTTGAGAGTTGGCAGGGCCACCTTGCTGTCTCTCAAACTTGATGTACCTATAAAACACCATGCAATAATCATCATTCCACAGGGGGTTATACAACATATTTAAAAATGTGTGGCCTGGGTAATAATCAATCAGGACTGTAATGAAGGGCACGAGGACTAGAGAGGGGTCTCAGAGACTCCCTATAGTGCCTGGCATCAACATATCAGTTGATAGATTATGGAAAGGCAGGGTAATTTAGACAGTGGGGCTGAAGCCTGGGTTGAAAAACCCTAGGATATACAGAGTCTTCTTTACTAAATCAGAAATGAAGCATTTAATATTTTAATTGGTATAATCAGGCCAACACATACCAACTGACTATCATGTTCACCCATTCAGAAGTATTACTTCCTAAGCATCTGGGACCATACGCAACAGTGTTTTAATCACCTTTCCATAATTATAACAAAACACCTGAGATAACTTATAAAGAAAAAAAGGCTTATTTTGGTTCCAGATTTGAAGGTTTCAGCCATAGTCATTTGGCTCCATTTGTTTTTATGCCTGTGATAAGACACTACATTCATGGTGGGGAGGACATAGCAGAACAAAGCCATTCACATCATGACCAGAAACTGAAAGGGACAAAGGAAGAGACCAGGGTTCAACAATCTCCTCTGACTAAACATCCCCCAGTGACTAAAAGATCTCCTAATAGGCCCACCTCTAAAAGTTTCCACCAACTCCCATTAGTCAAGCTGGGGATCAAGTCTATAACACACGGACCCTTCATGAACACAAGATCCAAACCATAGCACAGAGATAGTGTTACTCATATTTTTAAAGATTTTTCCATGAAAACATACTTTATGTTTAGCTGATAATCTCAGCCAACTCACAGCTATTGACAAGTGTATGAACAAAGCGAAGAAAATATTGTGAATAAATCAAATCTACATATAGCCTTTTATAATGTTAAAACGCCACACTAAGGGCTGGGGTTGTGGCTTAGTGCCAGAGTGCTTGCTTCGCACATGTGAGGCACTGGGTTTGATCCTCAGCACCACGTAAAAATACACAATGATATCATGTCCATGCATAATTAAAAATATTGTAAAAAGCCTTCACACTATATGCATTTTACTTTTTTGATTTTTTATTATTATTAGTTATTCAAAACATTACAAAGCTCTTGACACATCATATATCATACATTTGATTCAAGTGGGTTATGAACTCCCATTTTTACCCCATATACAGATTGCAGAATCACATCCACGTTTTTACATACTGCCATACTAGTGTCTGTTGTATTCTGCTGCCTTTCCTATCCTCTACTATGCCCCCTCCCCTCCCCTCCCATCTTCTCTCTCTACCCCATCTACTGTAATTCATTTTAAACATACAAGAATATATTACAATATAATATCCACCAAGTTCTATGATGCAGTTTCAATACAATTTACTGTACTGTCATCAATAATTTTCCGGTTTTGTTTTACTTATATCTCTCCAATGCTTGTTGTCTTGGATGGAGTACAGGCAAGCAAATCCCAGACATACTATCATTTCATCCATAAATACTTCACTGTGAATCTTTTTTTCTTTTTCTTTATTGATTTTATTGTTTTTTAAATACATGACAACAGTGGAATGCATTACAATCCTTGTTACACATATAGAGCACAATTTTTTGTATCTCTGTATATAAAGTAAGTTCACGTCAATTTATGCCATTATACATGTACCTTTTTGCATTACAATTCTTAATACAAATATATACCACAATTTTTCATATCTCTGTTTATAAGCTATGTTGACACCCAATCCAAGTTTTCATACATGTACTTTGTATAATGATGACCATCACATTCCACCATCCTTGCTAATCCCCTTCCTACTCCCTTTCCCTCCCACCACTCTTCCTTATCTAGAATTCACTATGAATCTTTATCTGAGAAGTTGCCTGTCACATTACTTCTGTAAATGTTTATAATATTCATTTTACCAAGAGGAAAGAGTGTGGAGTTGTTGTGTGAGCATACACACATTCATAGCCTTTGAAATGTGAGACTTTAGAGTTTACATATAAAGAACTGTTTTTTAGCAGAGGCAAAACCAGATTCAGGTTCCCTAACTAATGACCTAGAACTTTTAAATGATACCTGGTATTGATATTTGAACTTGGTCTGGAAATCATGGATCTCCCACAGAGAAAGAGCCCACAGAAAAATCAAATCAATCCAACAGAGACTATTTGCCATGAAGATGAACGTAAGCATGGAATTTTTGAGCTACATAATCTTATAGATCATCAAGATAATCCCTTGCTTCATTTTACAGTGAAGTGAACTAAAATCCAAATGAGCTTACTTACCTAAGGACAGAGGGTCATATATAGCAGAACTGGTCTCTTATCTTATGTCACAGTAAATAGAGTTTCTTGATTTCATGACACTTGGTAGCATAGATAACTATAGTTATATCCTTATAGACCAGCTCACAGAAAACAATAATTTATTCCTAAGTGATAGTTCAAAACAATGAGCAATGTATTAGTGAAAGAAAACAAAATCCTGTCACCTTATCTCCATTACCTCCACTGTTTATTTATTTATTTGGTACCCAGTATTGAACCCAGGAGTTTTTAACCACTGAAACACAATCTCTGCCCTTTTCTATTTTATTTTTTAAATTTTGAGACAGGGTCTCACTAAATTGCTGAGGCTGGCCTTGAACTTGCTATCCTCTTGTCTCAGCCCCCTAAGCTGTTGGGATTACAAGCATAAATCACAATGGTCAGTCATTCCTCCACTTTCAAATGAACATATTATAACTCCTCCAGTTCAAAGTTAACCTTTCTACACTTATTCTTACTTTTACTTATTCATCTGGAAACTAGCTTCAACTAATTTCAAATTTCCTATATTTTCACTTTTCCTTTTCTACAGAATTCTTCCGCTCTAAATGTAAACATGCTCTGGCCTTTATTATTTTAATAATAATTATATAAAATAAAATGAATTACTTTGTTCTATGATCCCAAGTTCTATGAAATAGCAATTTATAGTCACTCTCTTTACATCATTACATTCTCAACCCCCTGCAAAATGGCTTCCTCCTTCTTTTTTTTTTTTTTTTGGCTTAACAAATGCTCTAATTGACCTTCTAATTGCTAGATCAATTATTTTTTAATTTTCTATTTAATTTGAACTTTCTCCCTATTAACTGTTTTTCCCACATTTTTATTGGTGTATTATACTTGTACATATTGATGAGATTTGTTGTTACACATTCATGTAGCACACAAAACAACAAAATAACTTAGCCAAAGTCACCCCCAGCACTCCCTGCCTCCTACCCCTTGGCCCCTTTCCTCTACTGATCTCCCTTTAATTTTTAGGAAATTCACTCCTGCCTTCATTTCCTTTTTCCTTCCTAGCTTCTGCATATGAGAGAAAATATAGGAGCTTTAATCTTCTGAGTTTGACTTATTTTGCTTAACTTGATTATCTCTAGTTCTGTTCATTTTCCAGCAAACGCCATAGTTTCAATTTTCTTCAGAATTAACTGTTAATAATTTTTTTCTAACTCTAATTTTCCTAGGTTCCTGAGCAATGGCTTGCTCTTCATTCTTTTTATAGCCATTGGTAAATTCTCACAATATAACTGCATTGTTTTCCTGCTCTGTGATTCATTCCTAGATGACTATCCAATTTCAATGCCTGAAATACTGGACTATGTGTTATTGTTTTCTAAATCTATATCTCTAGGGTTCCAGAACAATATAGCTAATTGCTTCCTGAATGAATCTTATCTAGGTGTTTTCATCTACCTTCAAGTAAACATGTTTAAAATTAAATTCATTAAATTAATATCTGGCAAACTGTACTATCTTTTACCTAGTTTTTCGAGACAGAAAACTTAGAGCCATATTGGATTTCTCCTGCCTTCATTCTCTATAGAAAACAGTCATTTCAATTCTACTTTCCTAAATAGTCTGTGCTGTTTGGTAGGCAGTAACTATGCATGTGGCTCTTTCTATTTAGCTTATCTATAATTAAATAAAATTTCAGATTTCATTTCTTAGTCATGGTAGCCATATTTCAAGTGCTAAATAACCACAGAAAGCACTATATTAGGCAATGCATATATAGAATATTTCTATCACTTCAGAAAGTTTTATGAGATGATAATGATTCTTATATGGTTATCTCTCACCTAGAAAATTTCAGTAGTCCTCCAAACCAATTTATTTGGATCCAGTCTTCTCCATATCCACACTAGTTAATCCTTACACTGAGACCACAGTAACCACTCTAAAATACAGATGTAATCACATCAATATCTTCCTTAAATCTCTTTATTTGTCCCCCTCCCATGGCCTACAAAATGAATTTGAATCTGTGTACATAGCATAAAAGGCTTTCTCTCAACTAGCCCCTTTATGCAATTTTTATGACCTACCACCACCTATCTTATTTTCCTCTCATGCCAAACTGTTTTCAGTGCTATGCCATTTGTTCATGCCTGTGCAACTTTGCTAGAATTCTCTGTCTGAATAACTTCC